TCTACATTACAGATGAATGGGCCCCAACCACTTGTGCCGGCACAGGAATGTATTGTATAATATATTTGACATTTATGTCTTCCTTCATACAGGCCTGAGGCCTGCTACTCTCCTTTTTGACGCATATTGTGCTTGCTCTATTGCATACATGTGATATACACATTTACAGCATAATTTTTGGATTCCTTGATAAGGATTTGCCATTTTGGTTACTGCTTAATTCCTTATATCCTCTATTATGGTATGCCCATGGCATAATTTTTGGATACACCTCCCTAGGGAAGTGTTCACCTGTGTGTTTGTGCTACAGGGACACTAGACTCATGTAGCCATTTTCCCTGTTGCACATACATTTAGACCGGTTCTGGTGTCATTTTAAATGGTTTTAGGTCTGCATGTATTGTTTCATACTGAGGTGATGGTAAACCAGGGCGAATGCCCATATGTCATATTTATATTTGTGTAATAAAGCATAATTTTTGGAAATTATTTCCTGAGTGTCACGTTCTGTTCATTATGTAGCCGCTTTTCTGTGAATCTCTTTTCACAACCCTCCTTTTTTGTTTGGCTACTGTGGCCTACATGCCAGGGAGAATTGCCCCACCTTGCAGAGTAAGATTCCTTCCTGATCCCCTGAGAGGCAATCGGGTATTTCCTGGATCAACTTTACCTATAAATGTTAGTATACAGTTATATTCTGTGTATTCAAGAAATAATCCAGGAATTTTTTAAAGCAATCCACTGAGGTGGCCAGAACCAACTCTTGAGGGAGTCTATTTTCAAAGCTCTTACTGTGAAAAAAACCTTTTCGTGTTTGGAGATTACATTTCTTTTCCTCCAGATGTAAGGAGTGCCCCCTTGTCCTCTGTGATGACCTCAGGATGATTAACTCTATACCAAGTTCACTATATGAACCACTGATGTATTTATACTGTACATGTTCATCATATCCCTCTTAATCATATCCCCCAGAAACTGACTGCTGGAAAAAGTAGGTTAAAAACCGTCTGTTTAGCCGCGTTTGCATAACGCATTTAAGCCCAATTACGCGCATTTAGAAGCGTTTTTAAAGATAAGCACAGGAGAACCTCCCAAATGCCCAGAATGCACTGAAAAGTGGTAAATTATTAACTATTTCAGACTTTCAGAGAAATACACAGAGTAGAAGCAGAGACAGCAGTATGTGTTGAGATAAATAGGTGTGAGTTGCTCATTAATGTTTCTTTTGTTTCCAAGGGTAGGATAGGTGTCTGGTGGAGTGAGTACAGTCACCTGGCAGGGAGTCTTCATGAGGAATCTGAGGTGTGAATGGTCATTAACATATCTTGTGTTTCCAAGGGTGGGAGAGGTCTGAGGTGTGAATTGGTCATTCCAATGTGTGACAAGCTTGGTAGGAACATTTCTCTTAAGTATTTTGTCCATCTGAGTACATTAAAAATGCTTTGCATGCATTTTTCATGATGAAAAAAGGCTTTGGACAGCATGGGGAACTGGAAGAGTTAAAAAAAATTTCAGACGCAAACCCTTATAAATGCGATTTGCCACGTTTAGATGTGTTTACATGCGTTTACAAGCATTTTGCATTTGAAATGCTGATAAAATCGACTGCTGAACATAAGTTTTCTGCGTTCAAAAAAAGACTGTAAACTCAAATGCCTGTACATGAGCCCTTAAGCTTGTGATCTACCAGAACTTCCAGATCCTTCTCCACCATTGATTCCCCCAGTTGTACCCCCCTAGTATGTATGATGCATGCATATTCTTAGCCCCCAAGTGCATAACCTTACATTTATCAACATTAAACCTCATTTGCCACATTGTTGCCCAATTACACAGTGCATTGAGGTTGGCTTGTAAGTTGGAGACATCCTGTAAGGATGTTATTCCACTGCACAGCTTGGTGTCATCTGAAAGGAATGAAATGGGATTTTTAATCTCAGACCCTATATTGTTTATAAATATATTAAAAAGTAAGGGTCCCAACACTGAACCTTGGGATAAAACACTAACAACCCTAGACCATTCAGAGTATGAATCATTAACCACTGTTCTCATATATGATCTTTTAGCCAGTTTTCTATCCATTTACATACTGATTTTTCCAAGCCTGTAGACTTTACCTTACACATTAGCCGTGTGTGGGGAACGGTGCCAAACGCTTTTGCAAAAATCCAAGTATACCACGTCCACCGCCACCCCTCTGTCCAAGGTTTTCCTCACCTCCTCATAAAAAGAAATCAGATTTGTTTGACAACTTCTGTCTGTCTTTCATGAATCCATGCTGTCTGTTTCTTAAAATATTTTTTTCTAGCAAGAACTCATCTATGTGGTCTTTTATTAAACCCTCCAGTATCTTCCCAACTATAGAAGTTAAACTAACAGGTCTATAATTACTTGGTAAAGATTTTGACCCCTTTTTAAATATGGGCACCACATTGGCCTTATGCCAATCCAGTGGTACTATGCCAGTCATTAAAGAGTCCCTAAAAATGAGAAACAATGGCTTTGAAATGACAGAGCTCAATTCTTTAAGGACTGGTGGGTGTATGCCATCCAGTCCAGGTGCTTTATTCACCTTTATTCTGTCTACATATTTTTGGATCACATCAATTGTGAGCCAATGTGGATCATCTGGAGCTGTATCAATACCATGCCCATTATGGACAAGAGCTCCCCCATGCTCCTTTGTATACACAGAGCTGAAGAAGGTTTTTAATAAATTTGCCTTCTCTTTGTCCCCAGTCACCCACTCTAGATTATTTTGTAAAGGGCCTATATGCTCAGACCGGACCTTTTTACTATTAATATATTTAAAGAATTTTTTGGAGTTTGTCCTGCTATCTTTTGCAATCTGATATTCATTTTCAATTCTTGCGGCCTTTATTTCCTTTTTGCATATTCTGTTATATTCTTTGTAATTTTTAAATGATGATCGCATTCCTTCATTTTTATATTTAATAAATGCTCTTTTCTTATTATTTATAGCTTTTTAACTTTGGCCGCAAGCCACTTAGGTTTGATTTTTAGCCTTTTAAACTTGTTGCCCATGGGAATATATTTTGCAGTGTGTTCACATACAGTCTTTTTAAAGAACTCCCATTTCTGTGTTGTGTTGATCGATGCCAATATTCCCTACCAGTCTAATAATTACAACTTTTTTTTCTCAAGTTTAAATCTTACATATGGGGAAAAAATCAGGAGATTGTATGCATGTTATAGTCTTCATATGTTTTTTACATTTCAGACAATAGGTATATTTTACATTTAGAAAAAAAACACAATGGTAACAAGTTTTAAAATAAAAAAACAAAAATAAAGTAAGATCATAGCAAATGAGTTAACTATTCTCCACGCAAGATGGGCTAGAAGAGGTAGGTTGTGAGATATCCCATAATATATTAGTATTTAAGAGAGTAATTTCCTAAAATAGCACCAAATGTTCCAGTGACTGAAGAATTGTGACATGTTTTCTTTTTTCAGCAATAATTTTTCATAGATAAATTGTACGTCCAACTTCTTATATAAAATACTTAGGTTAGGAGCTTGTGGTTATTTACAGTGGCTTGTAATATGAATGTAAAGTGAAATTTCTATTGCAGAGGATGCCTAAAATCTTACTTGTATCTTAGTGCAGACTTATGGGAAAATTAGTGAGCCAATAACACAAGCAGGGGGTGTACACCAATTGTGTATGGAATGCCTCCAGGTTGCCATATTAAATTGCATTTTATTGACAATTATAGCACTGTAGATTGAAAAGGGAAGGCAATTTTTAATTCTAATATGCTAGAATATTTCTCTTTATTTGCTGTTTTTCCCCTTTAAGTACTGTAGGTGCACATGGTATTCTACTGTATTAAAATTGTATTTATGTTTCAGAAAGAGTGTTAGGGCCTTTTCAAATGGGCTTTACTATCAAGTCCACCTGATCAGAAGCTCCATGCAGGTCTAGGGCAAGTAGATGTAAACAGACTTGTGTCTATTTACTCCCACCTTCCTCTGAGTCCAAGTCTCCTGACTGCCTATCACAGAGGCATTGGAGCACCAGTACAGTGGAAACACCCACAAAATGACCACATTTTGGAAAGCAAACTCCACAAGGTATTTTTTAAGAAGCATAATGAGTTTTTTTGAAAATGTATTTTTTTGCCACAAGTTTTTGGAAAATGCAGAAACAAAAGAAAAACATATTTTTTACACAAATATGTCAAGTATAAAAATATTTCTAACATGCAATATAAGCATACTTAGAATTACACCCCAAAATACTTCTGCTACTCCTCCAGAGTAGGGTGATGCCACATGTATAAGACTTTTTCTCAGCCTAGGCACATAGAGAGGCCCACAATCCAAGGACCACCTTAAGGCTTTCTAGGGGCATAAATTATGTATCTAATTTTCTGACAACCGCAATGATTGTGATCCTGTCAGATGATGGGGGAATCAATGATGGAGAAGGATATGGGAGTTCTGGTAGATCATAAGCTTAATAATGGCATGCAATTTCTAAAGCAAGCAAAATCCTTTCTTGTATTACAAGAGGTATAGACTCCAGAGAGAGAGAGAGATCATTATTACCCCTGTACAAATTGTTAGCAATACCTCATCTGGAATATGGAGTTCAGTTTTGTGCACCAATTCACAAAAATAACATTGGGGAACTGGAGAAAGTACAGAGAAGGGCAACCAAACTGATAAAAGACATGGAGGAGCTCAGCTATGAGGAAAGATTAGAGGAACTGAATTTATGCTCTCTTGAGAAGAGGATATTAAGGGGGATATGATCAACATTAGAGTGAGCGAATTATTCAAAAAAATCGATTCGGCTGATTCGCCAAATTTGCGGAATAAATTCGATTCGATGCGAATTTATGCGCTGCGAATTTAACTTATTAAAAGGGTTTCTAGGCTTCAGAGAGCCTTTATATTAGTGCAGAACACTGTACCTTTAATTTAAATGCCCTTGGAGTCTGCTGGGGAAGAGAAACAATACTGTCAGTCAGTATGACATGCAGATGAGTGCCGTCGATCTTAGAATCACCGCACACTTCACTCATTTGGGCAGTCACGGGGCCAAAACCAGAGTGTGGAGCCACAGTGTGTGGCGGTGGAGGCAGCAGCAATGGGAGGCCATACAGCACCCTATGACAAAATGGAACCCACCAGCAGTGTGAGGAGACCTGAAAGTGGCACATGGCAGAGTGTGGCGATGGAGACAGCGGCAATGGGAGGCCGTACAGGGACCCATGACACACTCTGGACCTGGCAGCAGCATGAGGAGGCGGTACAGGGGCCCATGGCAGAGTGGCGAAGCGTAAGCAGCTTAAATTGAAGGCCATACAGAGGCCTAAGTCTCCCCCAGCAGCAGTGTGGGGAGACGACTATCAAGAGTCCAATGGCAGAGAGTGGCGGAGCAGAAGCAGCTTCAATTGAAGGCCATACACAGGCCTAGGTTAAAAAGTCCCCCAGCAGCAGCGTGGGGAGACGACTATCAAGAGTCCAATGGCATGAGGATGAGAAGAAGAAGAAGAAGAAGAAGAGGATGAGGATGAAGAAGGGGATGAGGATGAAGAAGAGGATGATGATGAAGAAGAAGAAGAAGAGGATGATGGTGAGGAAGAAGAAGAAGAAGAGGATGAGGATGATGATGATGAAGAAGAAGAAGAAGAGGAGGATGAGGATGAAGAAGAAGAAGAAGAAGAGGATGAGGATGAAGAAGAAGAAGAAGAGGATGAGGATGAAGAAGAAGAAGATGAGGATGAAGAAGAAGAGAATGAGGATGAAGAAGAGGATGAAGAAGAAGAGGAAAAAAAAGAAGAAGAAGAAGAAGAGGATGAGGAAGAAGAAGAGAAGAGGATGAGGAAGAAGAAGAAGAAGAAGAAGAGGAGAATAGGGATGATGAAGAAGAGAAGAAGAAGAGGATGAGGATGATGAAGAAGAAGAAGAAGAGGATGAGGATGAGGAAGAAGAAGAAGAGGATGAGGATGGAAGAAGAAAGAAGAGGATGAGGATGAAGAAGAAGAAGAAGAGGATGAGGATGAAGAAGAAGAAGAGGATGAGGATGATGAAGAAGAAGAAGAGGATGAGGATGAAGAAAGAAGAAGAAGAAGAAGAGGATGAGGATGAAGAAGAAGAAGACGATGAGGGTGAAGAAGAAGAGGATGAGGATGAAAGAAGAGGATGAGGATGATGAAGAAGAAGAGGATGATGGTGAGGATGAGGATGATGATGAAGAAGAAGAAGAAGATGAGGGATGAAGAAGAAGAGGATGAAGAAGAAGACGAAGAAGAGGCTGAGGATGAAGAAGAAGAAAGGGATGAGGAGTGAAAGAAGAAGAAGAAGAAGAGGATGAGGATGAAGAAGAATAAGAAGAAGAGGATGAGGAAGAAGAAGAAGAAGAGGATGAGGATGAAGAGAAGAGGATGAGGATGAAGAAGAAGAAGAAGAAGAGGATGATGGTGAGGAAGAAGAAGAAGAAGAAGAGGGAGGATGAGGATGAAGAAGAAGAAGTATAAGAAGAAGAAGAAGAAGAAAAGAGGATGGGGATGGAAGAAGAAGAAGAGGATGAGGATGAAGAAGAAGAGAATGATGATGAAGAAGAGGATGAGGATGAAGAAGAAGAAGAAGAAGAAGAAGAAAAGAGGATGAGGATGAAGAAGAAGAAGATGGAAGAAGAGAAGAAGAAGAGGGTGAGGATGAAGAAGAAGAAGAAGAGGATGAAGAAGAAGAAGAAGAAGAGGATGAAGAAGAAGAAGAAGAGGATGAGGAAGAAGAAGAAGAGGATGAGAATGAAGAAGGAGGGAAGAGGATGAGGATGAAGAAGAGGATGATGGTGAGGATTGAAGATGATGAGGATGAGGAAGAAGAAGAAGAAGAAGAGGATGAGGAAGAAGAAGAAGAAGAAGAAGAAGAAGAGGATGAAGAAGAAGAAGAGAAGAAGAAGAAGAGGATGAGGAAGAAGAAGAATGAAGAAGAAGAAGAGGATGAGGATGAAGAAGAAGAAGAAGAGGATGAGGGGAAGAAGAAGAAGAGGATGAGGATGAAGAAGAGGATGAGGCTGAGGAAGAAGCAGAAGAAGAAGAAGAAGAAGAAGAGGATGAGGCTGAGGATGAAGAAGAAGAAGAAGATGAGGATGAAGAAGAAGAAGAGAGAAGAAGAGGAGAGGATGAGGATGAAGAAGAAGAAGAGAAAAAGAAGAAGAGGAGGATGAGGATGAAGAAGAAGAAGAGGAAGAGGATGAAGAAGAAGAAGAAGAAGAGGATGAGGATGAGGATGAGGGTGAGGGTGAAAGAAGAAGAGATGAGGATGAAGAAGAGGATGAGGCTGAGGAAGAAGAAGAAGAAGAAGAAGAGGATGAGGCTGAGGATGAAGAAGAAGAAGAGGATGAGGATGAAGAAGAAGAAGAAGAAGAAGAAGAAGAAGAGGAAGAGGATGAAGAAGAAGAAGCGAAGAAGAAGAAGAAGAAGAGGATGAGGAATAAGAAGAAGAGGATGAGGAAGAAGAAGAAGAGAAGAAGAAGAGGAAGAGGAAGAGGATGAAGAAGAAAGAAGAAGAGGAGAGAGGATGAAGAAGAAGAAGAAGAAGAAGAAGAAGAAGAGAGGAGGAATAAGAAGAAGAGGATGAGGATGAAGAAGAAGAGGATGAGGATGAGGAAGAAGAAGAAGGAGAGGATGATGAAGAAGAAGAAGAAAAGAAGAAGAAGAGGATGAGGAAGAAGAAGAAGGGGAGGATGGGGATGAAGAAGAAGAAGAAGAGGATGAAGAAGAAGAGAGAAGAAGAGGATGAGGAAGAGGATGAGGAAGAAGATGAAGAAGGGATGAGGATGAGAAGAAGAAGAAGAAGAAGAAGAAGAAGAGAGAGGATGAGGAAGAGGATGAGGATGATGAAGAAGAAGAGGATGATGGTGAGGAAAGAAGAAGAAGAAGAAGAAGAAGAAGAAGAGGATGAGGATGAGAAGAAGAATAAGAAGAAAAAGAAGAAGAGGAGGATGAGGATGAAGAAGAAGAGGATGAGGATGAAGGAGAAGAAGAAGAGGAAGAGGATGAAGAAGAAGAAGAGGATGAGTATGAAGAAGAAGAAGAGGATGAGGATGAGGAAAGAAGAAGAGAGGATGAGGAAGAAGAAGAAGAGGATGAGGAGAAGAAGAAGAAGAAGAAGAGGATGAGGATGGTGAGAAGAAGAAGAAGAAGAAGAAGAAGAAGAAGAAGAGGGTGAGGATGAAGAAGAAGAAGAGGATGAGGGTGAAGAAGAAGAAGAGGATGAGGATGAAGAAGAAGAGGATGATGGTGAGGAAGAAGAAGAAGAAGAAGATGAGGATGAAGAAGAAGAAGAGGATGATGATGAAGAAGAAGAAGAAGAAGAAGAAGAAGAAGAAGAAGAAGAAGAAGAGGATGAGCATGAAGAAGAAGAGGATGAGGATGAAGAAGAAGAAGAAGAAGAAGAAGAAGAAGAAGAAGAAAGAAGAAGGAGGAGATGAGGATGAAGAAGAAGAAGAAGGAGGATGAGGATGAAGAAGAAGAAGAAGAAGAAGAGGATGAGGATGAAGAAGAAGAGAATGAGGATGAAGAAGAGGATGAGGATGAAGAAGAAGAGGAAGAGGATGAGGATGAAAAAGAAGAAGAAGAAGAAGAGGATGAGGATGATGATGAAGAAGAAGAGGATGAGGATGAAGAAGAAGAAGAAAAAGAAGTAGGATGAAAATAAGAAGAATTCCAGTCCAGCAAAAGTGTATCTGCAGAGAGCTCCGCTATTTCTGACAGTTCTCTGACAGTTCCTTCACATTTACAGCGGTTGAAACATTGTATCTATTTGTTTCTGAATAAAAACATCTGTATCCTAAATGGAAACAAATAGATACAATGTTTCAACCGCTGTTAATGTGAAGGAACTGTCAGAGAACTGTCAGAAATAGCGGAGCTCTCTGCAGGGACACTTTTTGCCGGCTGTAGAAGGGATGAAAATCGGCCGATCGATCGGGAAAATTCGATTCGTGCATCCGAAGTTTGCTAATTTTCGGATTCGGCGTGAATCGAATTTTTCCTAATATTCGAAACGAATTCCACTTCGCCAGGTTCGATTCGCTCATCTCTAATCAACATGTATAAATACATCAGTGGTTCATATAGTGAACTCGGTGTAGAGTTATTCACCCTGAGGTCATCACAGAGGACAAGGGGGCACTCTTTACATCTGGAGGAAAAGAAATTTAATCTCCAAACATGGAAAAGGTTTCTTCACAGTGATAGCTGTGAAAATGTGGAATATAAACCCTCAAGAGTTGGTTCTGGCCAGCTCAGTGGATTAATTTAAAAAGGCCTGGATTCTTTCTTAGATACACAGAATATAACTGGATTTTAACAGTTATAGGTAAAGTTGATCAAGGGAATATCCGATTGCCTCTTGGGGGATCAGGAAGGAATTTTTTTCTCAGCAGGAGCAAATTGGATCATGCTTTTCTGGGTTTTTTTTGCCTTCCTCTGGATCAACTGTGGGTATAAGATTTATATCTTTTTTTTTTTTAATGGTTGAACTGGATGGACTTTTGTCTTTTTTCAGCCAGACAAACTATGTAACTATGTCCTTCCAACACTGTAGTTGCTAAGTCCACATGCTGTTCTAGTTGATGAGCATGGTGTCCCAGCTCTTTAAGGCCTCATCAGATCAGAGGTGAGTTTCCAGGAAGCGGTTGTGATCTCCTCCCGCACTATAGAGTAAAATTTGTGGAGCATGGCCTCAGGGTATTGCTCAGGGGGACTGGCCAGTCCGGAGGGGAACTGCTGCAGGCTGTCCTCCCTGGAGTCAAGGCTGGTAGCAGAGAGCCTCGTGGTGTCATCCAGCTCAGAGAGATTGAGCGCTATCTTGCCTGGTCTCAGGAGCAGGGAGGCCTTCTGTTGTGCCCAGTGTTTGGGCTTGTTTTTTAGGGTGCGATGCATCGAACAGAACTATACTAGTGCCTCCTTTGGATAGTGTCCACAAAAAAGCAGCAAGATAGGTGAGCACAGAGAAACACACATGTGAAGGAACAGCAAGGAGCACTCTAATTTGCAGACCTGCTCCTGGATACACCGGAGGGACCCAGACCAGATCCTTTAACGTCCAACACCAGGGGGACCCCTAAGTGGAGAGGATCATCAGCCTCATACACAGCTGAGGGAGGACCACCCAGTATCGGATGACATCTGGATCATTTATACACAAAGGCGCATATTTTATGCGGGTCTGGTGAGTGCGCATTGCTTTATCACTTTCGTGCACGGATACCTGAACCAAGTCACCTGAATACCTAAGTCACCTGCATACTTGAGCACCTAATCTCTGTCACCTAATTGAGGAGGACTTTTTATTGATCGAACTGATTGAATACATGTCATTATCTATATATGTTTAGCGCTGCACTTTATTTTATGTTTAGTAAGGTCTTCTAGGGGTTATTGGTACCTCATTCGTGCATAGCAGCTTTACAATTGTTTAGTACTAAGGCGCTTCT